CAGCTGTACTCTTTGAAATGGTGAGCATAGGATTGACATAATTGGCAGTGAGGTGATGAGGTGCTGGATGACATTTTTATAATATCAGGACAATAACTAGAAGGTATCAAGAAACATAACACAACATGTAAGGTTGAGACATAGTCCCAAAGCACTGCACTTTTCGTTTTCAGGTGCAAGGCTGGCACAGAAAGGCGGCATCTTGCGGATTCCTGCTTGTACCTGTGTTGGAGGTGCCCTTCGCTTTGTCATCATACCTATATGGCGACCCTCTCCGTGCTCAGTTGTTTATCCCCCTAAACATACAGTGCCTACTAAAGGAGGGCTGTGATAACCTGTTTGAGGGTGAGGACAGAAAAAGTAACAGATGTTTCTTGTGATGTTTGCAAAAGTCTCTCAAATCTAGCAAATACATTAGGTGTGTTCAAATTTGTTTATTTATGCACTATTTATTTATTTAATAGTGCGAGTAGTGTGTTCACATTGAAAATTGCTAAAAGAAAAAGTACACTTCAAATACCCGGATGATGCACTTAATTAACAGAAAAAACTAAGTGTGTAATGTTGGACACGTTACTAATAATAAATAAACAAAAATACATAGTGCACTGATATTCTGGGTAATATTCTGTTTTGTATGTTTGTAATCAACAATTCTATCATTTACCATCTTAGATGGATTGAACTCTTTACAATACCTATGTCATTTATTGTTAAGTTGACGTATGATATCCTCCATTACGGCACTGCTTTATTTGTGTAGGGTTTGAGCCAGAGACATACTGGGACAGAATGCAGTTGTTTCAGGAGGCCGTACTCTCCAGGTAAAGAGAGCATATACTGATATGTATTTTTCACTATCACTATTGCTCAGTCTTTGGGTTAGTGAATTGAACAAACTTAAGTTTATTTTTTAGATTGATATTGTTAGGGTGACCAGATTTCTCAGAGTGGAATATGGGACAGGCACCCCCACCCTTACCCCACCACACACATAAAAGTATCTTATCTACGTCTGTGTGGGTGTGTGTTATAGCCTCAGATTTGGTGTGAGCAGAAGAACATTTCAGATCATGGCCTACAATTTCTTGATCAATTTCGCAGTGAAGTCAGCTTACCGAAAAAGCCCTTCACTTGCATGCACTTTATCAGATTCGCAACTTCACTTCACAAAAGATTTGCTGACACTCAGTGCAGCGTCCACATGTTTTTTTGTACGCATGCGCGGTGTAATGTCGGCGCTGCCTCTGTGAGCAATGGAAAAGCGGGCTCCACAAATGTTCTCTATTACCGACACTGGCGTCGTATGCTGCCTTCACTATCGTTAATTGTGATTTGAATGGTAACTTTGGTATTCAAAATATACTATGACGTGATTGGTTACCTTTGATTAGGCTATTCCCACGTGACAGAAGACTCACTCTATCGTTTAGCAATAAAGACATTTTAAGAAAGATAAAATACGGGACAAGAAGAGCATGATTTTTTTCATAATAAATCGGGACTAAAAATAGAGCTGTCCCGGGAAAAATGGGACGTCTGGTCACCCTAGGTATTGTCCTGTGTGCTCTCATACTGAAACAACTTCCCTCTTTTTCTTTGTTTTTGTTTTTTTGTTGAAGATTTGGCTTTGTGCAAGACAAGTTCTCAACGTCAGCTTTTAACTTTCCATCAGAGAACAAACCCCAGTACATCCATGTAACAGGTACATGCTTTTATGAATAATATAAACTTTGATTAGAAATACTATGATAGAAATCTTTCTTGTTACTTTATTCTGTCCATCTCTTTGTCTTGCTCTCTCTATCGCTATCTCTCGGGAACGTTTGATCCAGGTACAGTTTTTCTTCAGCTGCCTTACTCGAAAAGGAAATACTCCAGTGGGCAGCGGCGGCGCCGTAACTCCACGGCCTCCGCCAGTCAGAGCCTGTTTGGTTCTGAGGAGCGAGTGGGCTACAATTGGGCTTACAATACCATGCTGACCAAAGCCTGGAGAACTGGTGTTCTTGGGGACGAGAAACTGGCCGACCGCCTGCTACGGGATTTCACAGACTTTTGTGCCAACAAGGATAATCGACTGGTGACCTTCTGGGAAAGTTGTGTGGAGAAAATGAATGCCAGTGCCCCTTGAGAAAAGAGAAAGGAGGAAAGGCAATGGATACTTTCAGAGAAAACCGAGACAGTTCACCTTTGAATAGATGATAGGACTGATAGCAGCAGAACATTAGCTTTTGAAGCAGAGGAAAATAAAGAAACAGCCTCATCATAAAACACTCAAATGTATGAGTCATATTTTTTTAGTGTGTTTGCACATGAACCTGCAATGCTTTTGGGCCGTTTTTAATGGGTTTGAGTGAACGGCACAGGTCTTCAGTAAGTTGTACATAACAGGATCAGTTTGTTGATTGTTATTGCTAAACCCCATCTTAAAAATATTACTGACCAATCATACATTAGTAACTGTTGCTATCCATATTATCAGACAAGCTTTTTCACTTTTCTAATACAAATCTATGGAAGACTTGTGTTTGGGTGGTTTTCAATGGACATTTTGCAGAAACATTGTAAAAGGTGGCAATTATAGAAACAGTTCCATTTAATTCACACTAATTTGATTATTTGTTGTCACTTTCAAATGTGTCTTTTCTTGTCAGACGACTGAGCAGAGTTTGCATTGATTCTGCGCAAGCAACAGTAACCAAGGTGGACAGGGTTTATCAAACGATCTTTTAAAGGTAGGGTAGGTACATTTTTCATAATCACTTTTTGTTATACTGGTTGAAACTCTCTTCTCATCCTGATAGCCATGAATAATAGAAGTGGTCTAAATATTAAAAAATGTAAGTCAGCACCAAATAATGTTTTTCCAATGCAATGATACATAGTCCTACCTGCCTGTCACCGTATGTTTTTCCATACCTTCACGCAGACATCACACATCATCAGCACGTTCCGTAAGGCTATGCAGAGTTGTAGACAGACAGCCACCAAGCGCCAAAAACAAACAGCATCCGCCTATTACAGTTCCTCCTGAATCAAAACAACGATTATGCTGCGTTCAAGTCATGTTGTTACCGTAATTACGAGATGGCAACCCATGACGTTCCACCCGGAGCTGTTCACATCCTCGGATTTATGCGTTTCTATGTCAACATTATCAACCCCGAAATGAATCTGCAGCAGTCAGGTGGTACAACTAGAGCTCTGTAAGTTGTTTACGTTCATTACTATTGTAATGTTATGTGCTGTGAGACATGTGGTAGTTTAACGTCGTGTCTTATGATGCTTTGCTGAATCTGCGTTCATTTATTCTGAAGGAGGCGTGTCATTGGAGGGTGGGATCTAATGCTTTAAACTAGGACTGTCAGTTAAACATGTTATTAACGGCGTTAATGCAAACCCATTTTAACGGTGTTAATTTTTTTTATCGCGCGATTAACGGTCTTTTTGGCCTAGCAAACTTAGTAGTTTTTTTTCACATGCTTTTGCAACAGGACGCGGCATGCGCGGCGCTGCGCTATGAAACCCATTCATTTCAATGGCTTGCGCTGCGCGAGGACGTTTTGTTGCTTCGTCGACCAAAGCGCAAGCGGATCTAGCTAGACCGGAAACAAAACAACAGGCACGCCGCACACACTTGTTTGGGCTTGCGATCCGGCCAAATAGTTGGTTAACGTTACGTTTTGAGTGGATGATGAGCGCGAGACGCCGAAATGGATGCCAATAAGATTCTGAATGGAAAGTTTACTTTTAAAAAGTTGCCAAATGGTTCCATTGACAAGACCAAATTGATCTGTGTGTTTTGTCATTGTGAACTGAGCTATCATCATCGCAGCACGTCCAGTCTGAAATACCACAGATGGCCAAGCACACGTACAGCTGATGCGAATTCTCTGCCCCCTCGTCAATATCATAACCTCGTCAGTATTTCTTTCACCCTTTTATTGATGGACAGTGTTACATTGTGTGAGAGATTATTTGCTCCAAGTGAGAATGTTAGTGTGAAATTGAACACAGTATATGCCAATGTTGTTTTCAATAAAAAAAAAACATTTGAACAAAGCAAGCCGATCCACTTTTCCATGTTGATAAGAGCATTAAAATGAGAAAAAAAATAATGGGACAAAAAGAAATCAAGAGACATTTAGAATAGATAAAAATGTGCGATTAATTGCGATTAATCGCGAGTTAACTATGACATTAATGCGATTAATCGCGATTAAATATTTTAATCTTTTGACAGCACTACTTTAAACGCTAGCTTTGCTATTGCTAGCCACTCTGAAATTGCCTACCCTATCTTTAATATGGGTCTCACTTTTTTTTTTTTTTGTGCTTGGCCCCATTGATGTACATTTTCATAACCCATGTTTAGACTGGTGTAAATTGTTTTTAAATATCCTGAGAATTAGGAGCTAAGTAAAGGTCTTGATCAGGAGTTAAGAGATATGTTCATTGTTATAACTGTCATGCACGTCTGTAAACACTGTTGCATTTTGGTTATCAAAGTAAAATCTGTTGGTAGGGACATAAGTTGAATTATTGAACCAAATTAAAGATATATTAGATCCAACTTTGGTTACACATTATCCCCAAGGTCAAATTGATCCAATTAAGCCCCACTGTTATAATGCAGTAACTGCATGTTTTCAGCAGTAACACTGCAGGGACATTAGCCAGTGCACGGATAAAAACCTGACCTTTGATCACATTGAAAATACGTATCTGTCTGTCCACATCAGTCCATTCATGTTGTCTGGACAAACACTGCTAAGGAGGTATGTCCATGCATCCCTATTATCCTATCATCATCAGTTTTTGGACAGACAGAAGCATATTGCTTCATTTGAATGCGGAAGAGTTTCTTCTCACGCGCACGCGCGTTGTGTGGCGCTGCATTGAACAATGCAGCAAACCTCACTGCGCCTGTGCGCGGCTGCAGGGCATGCGGCTATTTTTAGAAAATGACGTCATCCTGAAATAGAGCGAGTGCGCGCACCCCCCTCCAGCTCCCCCTCCACCCTGTTCGCTGGGATTGACAGGACGCCTGCAGCAGCAGCACCCCACAAGACGAAAGAAAAAATAGTAATATTCGGGCGAAACTTGGAGGATTTCGAGGGCTGGGAGGGGAAAGAAAGCGTTACAAAAATATATAGACATTAAAATATATAGATAAATCTGCACCTTCAACCTTTGGCTCGCCGTTCCACCCTCACGTGCGCGGCTGCTCCAGATTTTGCTCGCGCCTGTGTGCTGACCGGAGCGCGCGCTCTCTCTCGCACAACCAGTGTGTTCTGCCGAGCAACGACCGAACCCGGTACGGACCGACAGCCTTTGACCAGAGAGGATGGCAGATAGGGAACAACTGATCCAAAGAGCCCGTCTGGCGGAGCAGGCGGAGCGCTATGATGACATGGCCTCTGCGATGAAGCTGGTGGGTCATTATTAATATAACGTTACATGCATTTATGCACAATCAGTCCTTAAGAGACGATTGCAATATAATAGATTCATTGAGTTTTTTATTCTTTTAATAATGCTCAAATATGGGTGCATTTCTAGTTTGTACAATTAAAGAAGCTTTCGCTACTGTCACGAGCAGCTCTTTGTTATATATAAAATATGCGGTGTTAAAGGGATAGTTCACCTCCAAATGAAAATCCTGTCATAATGTATTCACCTTCATATCGCTGCACATTCATTGGTTTGTTTCTTCCCTGAAACACAAAAGGGAGAGATGTTAGGCAGAATGACAGTCTAAGTCACCATTCACTTTCATTGAATGGAAAACAGATGCAGTGAAAGTGAACGGTGACTGAGACTGTCAGTAACTAGCACTAGCATTCTGCCTAACCTCGCGTTTTGTTTTTTGTTGTTTCAAAGAAAAAAAATAATGCGGGTGTGAAACGACATGATGAGGGTGAGAAAATAATGAAATGGTTTTCATTTTTGTATAAATTTAAACCTTTGAATGTTGGGTAAAACCCAATTTGCATTAAAAAATTAAGATATATGAAAATAAGTAATCAACAGACAAAAACGGGAGGGATGACGCTACATAATGCTAATAAATTGTAGGTTTCGGTTCGGTATCGAGCAAATCTGTCATTACAGTGGATGAACATAGGCGGCGATATGACACCCTCAGCCACATCCATTGTGTATCTGTGTCTCTGCGAAAATGGGATAAAATCAACAATAGCTACGTTTTAAACAATGAAAGCTGTTATATAGTCAGATAAAACTTTAAAACATTATTCAACAGCTCATGTTAATTTGTTGTCAAAATAAAGCTCAATATGTGAGTTAGCAGTGCAGCATCAGCTGTCTGGTTTGACATCTGAGCACAAAGGATGAAAGTCAGTCAGTCAGTCAGTCAGTGTGGGTCAAACAGGACACGGGTGCTTTTTTCAGTGTATTGTTTTTTATTCTTACTAATGTAAGCAACTTTACCCTACTCACCTGTTTTGATTAGATATTGTCATTTTTATGCCTGTTTGACATTGGCGTATTCAGTGTAGGATCCCATGGCCATCAAAAATATGTCTTTCAAGATTTCTGTTTGAGAGTAAAATCTTATTTTAAAAATTCTATCTTATTCAGTGATCATAAATTACATGATGTTAATTTGAAATAATGTAATCATAAATGTTTGGGTTTCTTATTCACATTGCACTAGGAATGTTAATATATCAGTAGCTATATGGGGATCAGTGAATATTAACCTTTTTTGTTAATATCATTATTAATTATTATCATAACAGTCTAAAACTCAATTTTGGCTGTAAATAACTTAAGGATTTCTTCCAGTTCAAACAAACCTTTTCTATTCTATAAAAATATTTGTAAACAGAAATTGCGCGCTTTATCTTTTATCCAGGGTCTTGATGGATTTTGATCAGAACACCTTTGTACAGCACCATAATGTCCCAATTTCAAACAAATATACGTTGCGAACATAATTGTGTTTATTGACCCAACATCTGGCCTTCTGCACCATCAGGTCACGGAGTTGAACGAGCCGTTGTCCAATGAAGACCGCAACCTGCTCTCGGTGGCCTACAAGAACGTGGTCGGGGCCCGGCGGTCATCTTGGCGCGTAATATCCAGCATAGAGCAGAAGACGGCTGCGGATGGCAATGAGAAGAAGTTGGAACTGGTGCGTGTCTACCGAGAGACCGTCGAGAAGGAGCTGGAGTCAGTGTGCCAAGACGTTCTCACCCTGCTGGACCAGTACCTCATCAAGAACTGTGACGAAACCCAGCTAGAGAGCAAGGTCTTCTACCTGAAGATGAAGGGCGACTACTACCGGTACCTGGCCGAGGTGGCCACCGGCGAAAAGAGGGCCTCTGCCGTCGAATCGTCCGAAGGCGCCTACAAAGAGGCTTTCGATATTAGCAAGGGCATGCCGGCCACCCATCCCATCCGCCTGGGCCTGGCACTCAACTTTTCCGTCTTCTACTACGAGATCCAAAACGCACCCGAGCAGGCCTGCCAGCTTGCCAAGGAAGCCTTCGATGACGCCATCGGCCACCTGGACAATCTGAACGAGGACTCCTATAAGGACTCCACGCTCATCATGCAGCTCCTGCGGGACAACCTCACCCTGTGGACCAGCGACCAGCAGGACAGCGAAGGAGGGGAAGCCAATAACTGAGAGATCAGCCATGTCCGCTCTCACTTCTAGCTGTAGTAGCACCCGTCTGTCCCTTCTGCAGTCTTTTTTGATTCTATCTTATTTCTCTCTGTCTGCTCCTTCATTCTCTCCCTTTCTTCTCCATTGCATCTTCCTCGTCTCTTTGTGACACCTCCCTGCTCTTCTTTGGTTCCTCAGGGCAGCACTTCTGACCCTTCATCGCTCCTTCACCTGTTTTACCCCTTTTCCGCCAACAGGAGGCCGGTACCCAATCTGGAACCGTTCCACTGCAGAAAAGGTGGTTCTGGGATGGAAAAATGCCGTTGGCCTCTAAAACCTGCTGGTCTCGAACCTAAAACCAATAATGTCACATGTCTGCAGCAAGATTTCGAAAACAAATACAAGACGCAAAACAAATCTAGCCCCCAAAACAAAATGTATAAAGCATTCACTTCACACGTTTTCTTTTTATTCCTTATACATTACTTGCGATGTAAAATGCATTGCAATTCTTAATGCCACCTGTGAGAATCTTAAGCAAATTTGAAATGCTTATTTACGAATATCATACATGCAAATTGACCACTATGGAAACTACTATGAATTTTAATATATAATACTCATAAATACAATGATTCAAATTACTTTGGATGTTCAGATGTAGTCCTAAAAGATTCATAAAAAATGTGAATGATTTTAGAATATATCTGCAAATTGAATCCTATTCATTTTGTTAGTTATATATTGCTTGCTAATGATATAAAGATGCTAAAATTGGATGCTCAAACGTATTCTCAAAACACAGCATATAAAAATATATAACGGTGTATCTAACATTTTCTTTCGCTATATATTTGTCATGATGTCCTTAAAACACTGAATCAAATTACTTTGAATGCTTATATATATTCCCAAAACTCGTATAAATCAAAAAGACAGTCAAGCGGCACGTTTTCTTGTCACGGGTCAGTTATGTCACTGCACTCAAGCTGGTTCTGAGACCATTTTGGTGAAAAGGGGGTATTTATTCACCCTCATATGCTCTGTTTTCCCACCTACTTTTCTCCTGTCCTATACTTTTTCTGTATATGATTCTCCTCTTTCCTCCCACAACGAGTCACTGATAGGGCTGTATTACAGAAACTTTCTATCTTAATTCTTGGTTAAAGAAATTACCATGGTTAGTAAACAGAATAGATAAGGTAGGATGCTACTGTAATACAGCCCTTGGCCTCCACGTGACATTTATTTAGCGTATACTTGTAAGGACTCGATCTTCGCAGAGACTCTAACACTTATTACAGGATGACATCTTGAGTATGTGGCACAGTATAGTGCTAATGTTACAGCTTACTACGTTCTTCTTCTTCTTCTTCACTTGTCTTTGATCTGTACCTCCATCACTGCTTAGATGTGTTTGTCTGTCGTCTCCCCAATCTCACCTTGTACACCTTGCTAGCCCTGTGAATTGTGTATGCCTGCTGATCTTGAAACAGTATGTGGTCATCCAAAATGTGGGCGACACTTTGTTGTGAGACGCAGTGATCAAGAGTCTTTTGATTAGGATTACATATGCAAGGTTATGACAGAATGACATTAAAGACATTGCTTACCATGGGAACTCTCAAAATGCTGTTTATCTCTGGCACTTTATTATGGTTACACACATTTATTATCAACTTTACACTGTTTTGAACTCTTTCACACACACATGGCTTAACAATATTGGTTTTCTTGCTTATAGGCAACAATAATCTGCATTCACAACACAATCGCATGACTATTCGTAACTATTTCACATTTCAAATTCGTACTCGATCTCATTCATATGTTTTTGTACAACCTGCCGACACTGAGAGTTTGGTTTAGAGGTAGCAGGTTAATGCTTACAATCTTTTATTACAAAACGTAAATTTTCCTATGAATCACTTTGTGGGAATTTGTATGAAATTGCAGCTTTGTAAAATACATTTTCTCGTGAAATAGAGTTGGCAAATGAAGCTGAATTAAAATTCATTTTAATATGAAGTCTGCTCAGGACAACTGTCCTGATATCATAATAAATAAATCAGCCTCATTAAAATAAAGAAATCCTTGATGAGAAAAGTTTGACGATCTTTACTAATAAAATATATATTTTTTAACAAAACTTCTTATAAATATCTGAAAAACTTGCTGAAAAAATAAAGTCATGTGGTCCAACCAACATGCAGGGAAAAAAAGAAACAGGAAATGACATCAGACTAGAAGACTGCTGTGGAGCCTCATGACTGTGGGTTAAGGTCAATAGGTCTTTTAAAATATCAGATCATTTTACCTTTTTATGACAAGCCAAAGTATTATTCTCTGGGTGTAAAATGTCATGTGGTGCGACTCCCCAAAAATATAATGATATTAATAAATTAATAATAATTCATGATATTTGAATATATATATGGTATTTCAAATTTCAAATGGATTGTTGAGAAGTCGATGAAGTTGATATATATATATTTTATATATATATCTCTATTTATATATATATCTCTATTTTATATATATATCTCTAAATAGTTATATATATATCTATTTTATATATATATTTTATATATACTTAATTTTAACAAAATAAGAGGGATCATGCAAAATGTTATTTTTTATTTAGTACTGTCCTGAATAAGATATTTTACAAAAAATATGTTTTCATATAATCCAGGAGACAAAAAAAAAATGTTTTTGAACAGGATGAAGATTTCCACATTTTTCGTATTTTGTTTAAATATACACTCACCGGACACTTTATTAGGTACCCCATGCTAGTAACGGGTTGGACTCCCTTTTGCCTTCAGAACTGCCTCAATTCTTCGTGGCATAGATTCAACAAGGTGTTGGAAGCATTCCTCAGGGAGTTTGGTCCATATTGACATGATGGCATCACACAGTTGCCGCAGATTTGTCGGCTGCACATCCATGATGCGAATCTCCCGTTCCACCACATCCCAAAGATGCTCTATTGGGTTGAGATCTGGTGACTGTGGAGGCCATTTTAGTACAGTGAACTCATTGTCATGTTCAAGAAACCAATTTGAAATGATTAGAGCTTTGTGACATGGTGGAAGTAGCCATCAGAGGATGGGTACATGGTGGCCATAAAGGGATGGACATGGTCAGAAACAATGCTCAGGTAGGCCGTGGCATTTAAACGATGCCCAATTGGCACTAAGGGGCCTAAAGTGTGCCAGGAAAACATCCCCCACACCATTACACCACCACCACCAGCCTGCACAGTGGTAACAAGGCATGATGGTTCCATGTTCTCATTCTGTTTACGCCAAATTCTGACTCTAACATCTGAATGTCTCAACAGAAATCGAGACTCATCAGACCAGGCAACATTTTTCCAGTCTTCAACTGTTCAATTTTGGTGAGCTCTTGCAAATTGTAGCCTCTTTTTCCTATTTGTAGTGGAGATGAGTGGTACCCGGTGGAGTCTTCTGCTGTTGTAGCCCATCCGCCTCAAGGTTGTGCGTGTTGTGGCTTCACAAATGCTTTGCTGCATACCTCGGTTGTAACGAGTGGTTATTTCAGTCACTGTTGCCCTTCTATCAGCTCGAACCAGTCTGGCCATTCTCCTCTGACCTCTGGCATCAACAAGGCATTTCCGCCCACAGAACTGCCGCTCACTGGATGTTTTTTCTTTTTCGGACCATTCTCTGTAAACCCTAGAGATGGTTGTGCGTGAAAATCCCAGTAGATTAGCAGTTTCTGAAATACTCAGACCAGCCCTTCTGGCACCAACAATCATGCCACGTTCAAAGTCACTCAAATCACCTTTCTTCCCCATACTGATGCTCGGTTTGAACTGCAGGAGATTGTCTTGACCATGTCTACATGCCTAAATGCACTGAGTTGCCGCCATGTGATTGGCTGCTTAGAAATTAAGTGTTAACGAGCAGTTGGACAGGTGTACCTAATAAAGTGGCCGGTGAGTGTATATATATATATAGAGTATATATATTCATTTCGTACTGCCCTTCGGACGCAACAGAAGATACTAATGTTTCCCGAAAGACAAATTAAGTACAATTTACCTTAATCTTCAAAATCAGTTCAATCATCGGTGAATGTTTGAACCTTTTTTAATAGTTGTGTTTGAGTCCCTCAATTTACCTTTTTTAAGAAGCACTCAAGGTGCAAGGAAAACATGTTGATTACATGATGTTTGCACTTTGCACCACATTACATTTTTAAAATGGTATGAAAGTTTTTCAAAACCATATGAAACAACGCCAACATCGATGACATTGCCTTCATAGGAAAGCTGTTTCTGGGGTGGAGATGTTGATGGAAGACATGTATTACGAACTTAAATACAGTCTATTTTGATAACATTAGAATTCATTAAAATGCTCCTGTTGCCATTTCTGAGAAACCCATTAGTCACCAGCTCTTTGGTCAGTGTAATCTTGCTGTTTTTGATTATGCAAAAATTCTGGCAAGAGATGCCTTTAACAGACCATAAATATTGATATGCAGGAGTTACATTGTATATGATCAATTTATAATAGTACAATAATAGTGAATAAGTTGAAGACCGTGCAGAAGGTCAGGTGTTTATGATTATAAGACCTTACGTCTTAAAGATAAATGTCCATGGCTGTGACGAGATATGATGGTATTTTCAAATGCATTGTTGAGAAGTTGATGAAGCCAAAGATGTCTTTGTCAACCAGACCTTATGCCATAACTATGAATTTCCCTGTTAGATTTCCCAAAAAAACAAGATAGATAGAGAACTTTTAGATTTGGCTGCTCAACAAATGGTATCGTGATATAACCAACAAGACATATATTCATCTACTATCTGAACCTGAAAATGTACAAGGCATCATTGGTTAATGATTGATCCTTTAGCCGCACATTCAGTGTTGTAGCAGGTTTCTAAAGAAAAATGTGGTTATCTAATGAACTAAAAGATAGTGGCAAAAAATAATGCAGTTTCCTTGTTGATACACCCAAGAATGACGTTTCAACAGTGTCAATGGCTATTGCTCCGTTATGGTCAGTAAATCTTGCATTTAAGCTTATACAGTATGAATAAATGCCAAGGGTTTATGAAAGTTAAACTTTGTTTTGTACCAAAAGAGCATTTAAGGCTCGAGATTTGGCGATTAGCATGATCCTGTTAGCTTCTGCTAGCAGATGTTAATTAATGCTGCTCAGTATAATATTTAACTGTATAATTACACTGTAACAAAGTCACCTTGAAATTCAGTTTAAGAATTAAGTCAAACCATGTACGGCTCATGCTAGCGCTGTCGGGAAAGATCCTATCCCCCTTCCTCAATCAAAAATGTAGAATGACATCTTGTTCTAGCTAACCAGAAAACAATCCCTACACGTCCAACTATGCCTACTTCCATCCTATATAGTAGGCGAAAAACATCAGATAAGAATTATGTCCGAATTTATAGGCTCAATCAGTTCCTTAGTTCAGTAGTCAGGGCACTTGTCAGGGTGTTGGCCATTTTAAGTGCTGTCTCAATCGCCAAATCATTCCAGCGCACTGAAACATTTTCTCCCTAAAAAGTCCCACAATGCACCATGAATACAAGGGAGCATCGATGCTCTCTATAGCTGCGTCTGAAATCGCTTACTCTCTTGAGTAGGTACTTATTTTGTAATTACTTTGTGACCAATAAAAAAGTATGTTCTAAATAGTATGAATGTAAAACGGATGGCATCATGGGATAGTAAAGTGTTCATCGTAGGCACTCTTCGGATTTTTAGCCAGAAGTATTAGGTCATCCGGGTACTTTTTTCCAGGTACTTTTATGAATACTGTGATTTCAGACATCCTTCTTTTGTCACTTACTGTTTTTCGCCTACTTTATTCTTTAGTTCTGATATGCGAAACATAAATTACGTGAGCCAACTCACTACACATAATGACATGCTATAGATGTTTTTTAAAATACAAACCATTATTTAATTATATTTCAGCATTTAAACATACATCGCTAGTCAGGTAATGAACATAAACTAGCTAACATAATGTTTTTTACGGCTGAAATGTTGCATGTATATGTAACAAGCAAAGTATTTATCATATTGTATACTCTAAATAACATTAAAAAATAACGTCAAAAAGATATCAGTTCTGTTGTTGTTTATAAATGCCAGTAGTGATGTTGTACAATGGGGATGTTGTCAAAGTGCCGGAAATAGAGTCATCAGTGTCCCAATGTATAAGGACCCACTGAGCGTCCTTACTGTCCTTAACAGTGCCTGAATTCATGTACACGATATACTGATTCAAGAAAGCTAGGGAGCTGTTTGAGACGCACTCACTTTATTCATAAAACCGTAAGCGAAAAGTACCCGGTTGACTGACTACTTCTGGCACATCCAATGAACACTTTACTATCCCATGAGGCCACGGGCCAAGTGTGTCCGACTGCATCTCGTAGTACTACAAACCACGTTCCTTTTAATTACGCCCCCTACCTCAAGTTACGCCCCCTACAATGCAATAGAGTGATGCAGGTATGACGTCACCTTGTAGGCCAACCGGCAGGTAGCATCACACTGGTTCCCTCGATAAAGACCCAATAGGATTTTCCCACAGGCTTTTGGATTATCGCAAAAAAAAAAAAAAAAATCTTACTTACACATTTTGTCCATCAAGATAATTTTCACAGATGAACACAACTTTTATGTATTTTGAAGCCTAAATGCAGTCGCCAGAAGTAAAAACCTAAGCTATTCAAACTACACCACGGTCGCTCGACTTCAATGTCACCATCACTAAGCTTCCGACAACTCTTTCAGTTTTTATCTGAAAACATTTTCCCAGAAAATGTAAGTTATTAAGTCTATTTTATGAGAGCACAATTATAAGCATAACGATGCTGTAAAAGCAGACTAGTGTCCCCGACTGCTTCTGTAGTCCCATTTAGCCACTTGTTAGACCGCCTTTTTCAAGACACATAATATCTGTATACAGAAAATAATATTAGTAGTAACAGAATAGTAATTAGTAGTAATAGTAACATAAAATATTCACGAGTGGAGTAATACTTATGTATTTTATGTTGTAGAATAAAACCTAAAAATGTCTTGAGCTTGTGTTCACCACAGACCTTATTTCAGCTGTTTAACAAAAAAAACCCATTAAAAAAAAACACTGACTTCGGGACGATGGAACCAGAAGTGCTAAAATGCAACTCGCTTCCGCGTTTTGGCCTACGAAGTGATGTCATACCTGCACCATGTTATCAGAGCCCCTCTCTCTGAAATCGCTGATGTCGCCACTAGTACTGCTCTTCTTTTACTTAACTTTCCTCGCTTTTTAAGCTTCATTATCGTCACCTAGTGATAAGGTATACAAATCGTATAACATAGATCACCATATGCCGTCGTCATCCTGTTTGTTTTCATTCATTTTTAAGGTATTTTAATTATGAAACTATATACAGTAAAAAAAAAATGATGGAAGGGGTAGGTTTAGGGTAAGGTTTAGGTGTGGGGGCTAGGTTTTTAGCTATATAATTTAGCTAAAAGCTTTAAATGAGTCTATTCATTTGATAGTATCATTTATTTTATATTTTACTACTTCTGTTATTTCATACATAATAAGATTCGAAAGCAATAAGCTCGACAAACATTTCATGCATAAAATATAAAATAATTTACTTCAAAAGATTGTTTTAGTCAATGACATTTACGCTTGTTTCTTCGCGGGACGTGTAACTTGTTGCAGGGGTGTGGTTTGCAGACAGACCCTTCTCCCACGGGAGAGAATAAATGAATGGCAGTGCAACGACACAACTGATGCTGTAGTAGATCACATGACAGTGACAACATGGCTGGGGTAGTACGTCCGGTAACACTTTACTTGAAGGGGTGTGCATAAGACTGACATGACACCTTCATAATCATGACATGACACATGTCATGACGATGTTTGAGATGTCTTTGTTATGACACCTTGACATAAACCAATACATCATAACCTGTCAGTGTCTTTGTCATGACAACTTGACATTACTAAGACAACACAACCTGACATGACATAGCAGATTAATTATCAAACTTAAGAAACCACTTAGCTTCATGGGTTAACATTAAACTGTCAGGTGGTTGGTTTTGACATTGGCTGTCATGAGGCCATTATAACATTTTAATGACCAGTGTAGTGAGCTCAAGAAAAATATTCATGACACAGTTATAATGGCCTTATGACAGCCAATGTCAAAACCAACCACATGACAGTTTAATGTAATGTTAACCCATAAAGCTAAGTGGTTTAATATTAATATATTTGTATGATTAAGAATATTCTTAATTAATTTAAATACACTGTAAATCAGTTTTCAGTCATTTTTAATCAGGCACTGAGCAGCTAACCTTTACAACTTTCTCAGTAGAACAGAATAGACATTGGCAATTGTATCGCGGGTGGAAGGGTGATTCATATCCATTAAATGATCCATCTGTAGTGTTGGAGCCCCGTATGCTAAATTTAGTTTGATGTTTCATCAGCCATTTTCACTTTCTATTGTCTTCAAGATGCAATGCCACTTTGCACCTCAGTGTCCTTATAACCAGTGTTGCAGTGTATACACTGATGTCTGGACCATAAATTGCAGTAGTTGATCTTTAGCTGACTCAATGAAACCCATTAGTTAAGATGCAGGTGATGTGGTTGATGAAATGTGCTTTTACACATTACAGGAGCCCAGTTTCACACTTCCCACTATATAAGTTGATCATTAATGATTCTCAATCTCAGATTTTGACAGCTGTAAGTCACAAACACACTTTTATAATTAACTCTGAGGAGGTCACACCCATCTGTAGACGCACACGTATAAGTGAAAGCGTGCGCACACACGGTCACACACCTGCAGGTGAACGTTTGAGTCAGGTGTCTTTACCATCGTGTCAGAGAGGGACGCAGTGTGGTGCTCCACTTGCCCTGCTCAAACACCATCAAAATGGGGGCAGATTATTTGGGATTTTCTTATCTCCGCAATGAGAACAGAAGAAATGTCACCATATATATTAACAATCCAGCGGACATCTCGGTGATTGTTATATATTTTCTGGTGGTTCTGGCTGTGGGAGTATGGGTAAGTGGCCAGTAGTTTACATTTTTACCATTGACAGACTTGTGAATTGTTAACCTTGCGTCAACAACATATAAATGTAAAAGGGCAGTGTGAGATAAATTTGAAGAAAGAATGAGGATTCTGACTGATTTTGCAAAAAGTTTATAATATAATATAATATAATAAGTGGAATACAACAGGGGTGTTTTTTTGCAAAAAATCTGAAATCTATCAGGAAAAATTAATTGTTGCAATGGTCTTTTTTGTTATAAATGTTAAATATTAAACACAAAAAAATATATATATATTTTAAATTATTACTAAATTATTTAAAATGTTTCATACAATACATTACAATATTATCAAATCAACTCATGATTTTTTTTTAGTCTTATTTGAGGCATTATATTACTGGCATTGTTTTTTTTGTTTTTTTTTAACTATATTTGAACATTTTAAAACCTCTTGTGAAATTTCAAACATATTTGATCAAACAACAAACAAGGCCATTGAACGCCAATCCATCAACACTTTGAGACTGCAAATGTGATGTTATTGTGAAATGTGCCTGCAGGTATGACGTTATATAAAGTCAAATGTGATTGTATCTAAAATGTTTAGTGCTGGAACTCTTCATATGCTGAATTTAATGCCTCTTTCTGTTCAAAGGCAATGGTACGGACCAATCGATCCACAGTAGGAGGCTTTTTCCTGGCTGGCAGAAGTATGGTGTGGTGGCCGGTAAGAAAATGGACCTGGATGGTGGATGACCAAGCTTTAAACCTTAAAAGCATTTTGTTTTGTGCTCCAGATGTGATGGACATAGACAAAATTACATTGGCTGATCATTTACTACATCAGTAGCGATCAATCAGTGCACAACATGTGGTGCATTTTCTTTCATAATGTACTACGTAAGAAAGACTGAAACAGCCATAAAAGTAAGAGCTGATTATCTAACTATCAATAGCCTGACCAATGATTTCACTTTATTACAGATATGGCATGATAATGACCTTGACTGCCCCTCCATTACAGAACCTTGATATCATGATAGGGTGAACGAAATCTTTTTATTGGGCCATAATGCACTGATGCCAGATGCAACCCACAATTCGTTATAGCTGATATGCTTTGCTCATGCATGCAGTATTTATGGAGCTATCATGCTTTGGTCCATGCTAAAGTTATCACTCTATATGAAAGTTTGAAGCTTTTTATTTGTTATTACAAAGTTCATTGTTCTAATCGTTATTGTTTGAGTTACACCTCAGGTTGTGCACAAGAAGCTGTTTTTATAGCTTATCATCGTGGTGATTGCCAGATATAGTCAAACAGTAGACAGAGTTAATATATTCTGAAGACGCTTCACATACAGTTCCCACAATCCTTTGCTAATGACTTTTGTAACCATTCTGACATGCAAAAAGGTAGCAGATCACTTAGATATGGATTTCTGTTGGGTTTACCCCTCACACTGAATATGTTTGTTTATTATATATAGCACAACTGAAGTATTTAAAACTTTTTTCAGATTGGAGCCTCTCTCTTTGCAAGTAACATTGGAAGCGGGCATTTTGTGGGAATAGCAGGAACTGGAGCGGCTGCTGGTATCGCCATTGGAGGCTTTGAGTGGAATGTATGTTTTAAAAAATGCCTAATAATTACATTTATGATACGTAATAATTATGATGTGTGTCATGAATTTATGTTTTGGCCTACTAAAAAAACGTTTTAAGTATTTTGCATATAAGTGAGCTATATTATTGCAATATGTTTATAAATAATATTTTATTAGTAATTAAGGAATAATTTACAATAAATATTTTTTAATACAATTAATCATTTATATTGATCAAAATTTGCAGAACTTTAATTATTATTTTATGTCTACTTTTCAACACAATAAAAACAAAAGTATAATTATTTATTAAAAGGATAAAAGTATACTATGCATTACTATTATTATTGTTATTATGGTACGATATTAATAATATATTAAGGAACCAATTAAACATCAGTGTTATTTTAATAATATTTATATAGTGTTATTGTAACGTGTGTAACACAGAGAGTAACAATCCATATAAGCACAAGTTTATTCGAGAAACACAAACGCAGAATAATCCAATCCAAGAAACAAGAGTATAAATCCACATATCAAAGGCAGGAGAGCAACAACAGGAACACACATACAGGATCAATGATCAACTGAAGCACAAAGGTTCAAATAGACAGGTTAAGGAGGGGCTGATTAGGGACAGGTGTTGGTGATCAGTAGTCATGGGAACTAATGAGGGTAACAATGGCAAAAAAAAAAAAAAGTCAGGCAAGACAACAAGGGAAACAGGAACCAAACACAGGAAGGTAGCACAGAAACAATAGGAACTGAGAATACATTTCAACATAAAAGTCCTCTCAAAACACAAGACAAAACCAGGATCGTGACAGTTATAGTATTTATTATATTTCTAAATTAGCTTTTATTTGTACATTTTCAGGTTTCATTTGAATTTTATTTTAAGTTTTAGTCATTTTGTTATGCGCTTTTGTCATTTTATTAGTTTTAATATTCCTATTTAGCTATAATTTATTTTTATTTCAGTTAAAGTTTTAGTAATTTAAGTACTTTATGTTTCAACCAGTATCACTAAAAGCATTTATAAAACAAATTGCCTACCATACCTTTAACTAACTTTTCAATACGACATTTGCCTCAATAAACTTTAAATTACTGCTGATTAGTACTTAGTAAGGTAGTTGTTAGTGGGAAGGATTAGGGATGTAGAATATGGTCATGCAGAGTAAGGCATGAATATGTGCTTCATAAGTACTTAGAAAAAGACCATATCCTAGTAATATGCATGCTAATAAGAATTTTACCCTAAACTAAAGTGTTACCCTACCATTTTAGTTAAAGCTGCAGTCCGTAGTTTTTCCTCTTTGTCGCCATCCCTGTTCGAAATCTGCAATTGCAGTTATTCGCGTAATTATCAACTTTACGTGGGTTGTGCCTCGGCACGGCACAGCGCGGATGAATCCAATGTTTTGAGGAGAAGGTGCTGTCAGTCGCCGCGCCGGTGTGGATACTGGAATTCGGAAATCAGAGATTTTACTTTTTGGAAGTATGACCAACATAAGAATTTTCACCATAAAATGTAATCTGAACAAGTAAGTAACATCCACTTTTGTTCTGACCAACTAAGGGAAAAAAAGCATTGCAGTAAATCGCGCTGATTAAATCTAACGATCGCTTATCATATCACATCAAACCGTGCAAATTATACTTTGTTCTCAAATTGTTAATGTTAACAACATCAGCATTGTGTGACTACATTCAATGCCCTTCTGATATTATCCTTGTTTTCGCATGGGTCCGGTTGCAGTCTCTTTTTTTCTGTAGCCACTCCGAAGTCCGAACGAAGTCTTTTGCATTTTACAACGGGTGAATCTGTTGTCACTGGTGATTGTCGTTTGAACCTTTCTGGATCCGCCATCAAATTGATAAGTTTAATTATATCAAGTGCTGTGAGAAAAGGCTATAAATCTCCACCTCCAACATCCTCACACGCAATATAGCCTACTAGCCGAGACTCCTTCTTTATGTGTACAGATGTGACGTAATGATGCAAAGACATGCTCGAATCTCCCGCGGAAATCCACCAGTACCACTGGAATTAAAAACATTATTACAAGCTTACTGTTTTGAATCGAGCTAAGGCAAGCAGAGAGTTTTGAACACTGGCTGGTTGTGTACTTGCTCAAATTTATTTTGGATAATTTTTAACCCAAAAAAAGTTACGGAATGCAGCTTTAACAATAACAACACTGATGGGATTATGTGTACTTAATATTGAATCAAATATCTGTAATTACAATCTGTTTTTAATTTGTTTCCCCTCTCAGGCTCTTGTTGTTGTGATTATTCTGGGATGGCTCTTCGTGCCAATCTACATAAAAGCTGGGGTATGCTTACATTTCTTTCTCTTCAACCAGCATTACAGAACAAATCTTTCAAATATTGCTTACTTACACAACATGAATGTGTACTTTATCTCTGTGGTATCATTTTTATGGTCCTTATTGACGTTATCTGCAGGTCGTGACCATGCCGGAGTACCTGAAGAAACGCTTTGGTGGGCAGCGTATCCGTATCTATCTCTCTGTGCTGTCCCTGATTCTCTATGTTTTCACCAAAATCTCCGTGAGTCCAAAATCTGTCTCAAAAAAAGTACAGGTATCAAATACTAATAGATTAGTACTTTGAGAGGTAGCTGTCATGCAATACTTTAAGGATACTTTAACATATCAGCGATGTAACATGCTACACTTGTTAATAATTATGAATGTAGCTTTTTTTGACCAATTATGAGAGACTAACTACATGCACACATCAAGTACAAGAACATTTGAAGTAAACTAAATTGTAACCAGTTGGTGTATCAGTTAAAAGATCAAAGATATACACTTTCACTTATGCTTTTATAAAGTTTTACCTTACATTTGCATTTTCCCCCTTATGCATCTATTGACAATGATTAACTGAAAATTCAGTTGGAACTTGCCAACATTTTCACAATATGGTGCTGTCTGTCCAGCCTCTGTATTTAGTTTGCTGATAATCTTTACATCAGTCTGCACTAACACAGGTTATAGTCTGAAATGGCTGTGATTTCCATGTGGAAATATATTTTATTGCCATGTGAAGTCAGACTAAAAGGGGTTTAGATTATAAAGATAAAGACCTTGTTTTGAAACGGACAGTTCAAACAATTTTTCTCCCTTTTCCACTTCTCAGGCGGACATGTTTGCAGGAGCCATTTTTATCAACCAGGCTCTGGGACTGAACATTTACCTGGCCGTGATTATTCTGCTGCTGATTACAGCTCTTTATACAGTAACAGGTCTGTTGACGTAAATATTATAAACTTTACCATGACACATTGCACTGTATAGTATATGACAGTATATACAGTTGTTTGCAATAAACAAATCAAACAAAAGTAATTGAAATAGTAGCTCAACACAACAAATGTTTCAAGTGTTTTCCCCAAATTCAACTGAAAATGCAAACTTTTAATGACTTCTGCAGTCTCAAAATTATTTAACCCCTTTATGGCAAGCATCTTTAGTACTTGGTAGAACATCATTTGCTGTCATGACCTGCTGCAAACGAGATGTAAAACCAGACAACATGAGCAATGGCCTCCAGTTCAGTAATATTATTGAGTTTGCGTGCTGCAACCGCCTTCTTCAGATCCCACCAGAGATTTTCTATGGGGTTCAAGTCAGGTGACTGATGGCCACTGTAGGACTTCTTCCAGGACTTCTCCTGATGGAAGGTCCAATGACGCCCAAGCTTCAGCTTCCTCACTGAGGGCATGACATTTTCTCCTCGCGCGTGCTGCAGGTTTCCAGTGCCAGAGGATGCAAAGCAGCCCCGGAGCATCACCGAGCCCCACCATGCTTAACTATGGACAGAGTGTTCTTTCGGCATATGCTTCATTCTTCCTCCAGACATACCACTGATCCATAGGGCTGAAAAGATCCAGTTTTGTCACTCCATAGAACAGAATCCCAAGACTTCTGTGGCTTATTTATATGATTTTGAGCAAATTGGAGTCGACTTTTCTTGTGCTTTTGGGTCAGTAGTCTTGGAGTTCTGGCATGCGTTTAGTACGCATCTTACTTTGCAAGCTGAAACCTCAGTGCCCTGTTGCCACCAAGTCTTGCTGCAGGTCTTTTGCAGTCACTCAAGGGTTTTTATGTAACTGCCTTCTCAGAAATCTGGTTGCAGCCGTTGATAGCTTCCTTTTTTTACCCCATCCAGGTAGTGTAACCACTGTTCCTTTAACTTTGAACTTGCGATTTATGCTTTGCTATCTTTTTGTATCATGTTCCTTGTTAGTGAAGGGCAATACTATCTTCTATTAACTTTTTGGGCAATTCTTTTGACTTTTCTAACATGTAGTCAAACGTGACACTCAAAAAACCTAGCCAGGTAAGAAATTTCATGTATTCTAGCTCAAGCACACCTGGTGAAACTAATGAAGCCCTTGATTAGTTGCATCAGATGTGCTGGAGACAACACCTGGTTTGCAGATTTGTGCTGTTGTGAGGGATTCTATTCAGGGGGTTGAATAATTTTGAGACTGCAGAAGTTAAATTTTCAGTTGAATTTGGGGAAAGCAGTTGAAAAATTTGTTGTGTTAAGCTATTTCGAAAACTTTTGTTTGATTTGTTCATTGCAAACAGCTGAAAGTCTGTAAATTTTGCCAAAATAAACCTGATTTGCAATGGGGGTTAAATAATTTTGATAACAACTGTGTATATATATATATGTATATATATATATATATTTATATATTATATAGTATATAATATTTTTATATAGTCCCTGAAGTTTATACTACAACAGAGAGTAAAGTCTAGGGTTGTAGGACCATGCAGTGGGATGCTTATTGTAGCATGATATGTATGTGTCATGAGTAATTGCCCATTCTGACAATAGATGATAAGCCTGTGCAAGGTGCATTGTGACTTTAAACTTCTGTCATGGTCTGTTGTGTAATAGGTTTATCTCAGGAACAAACCAGCCCACCAATAAACTATAAGAAATCAGACATCGTCCTGCCAGCTGTAAATGTTTACATGAGCTGTGGCTGAGACTGTTTGTATGGGCCTATGGCTGCTAAACTTCTGTTACTAAAGCTTCAGAATTATATGGGGGGTTTCACCAGGGGGGGGGGGGGACATTTATCAGCCAAATCAAAGTCATGTGGTTTTACCAACATGTAAAACTGTGCATTAAAAAGCAATAGGCTACATGAAATTATAGCATAGAGAGGACCCCTCCAGACCCTCATGAGTGAAGGTCAATATGTCCTTAAAATATCAGATAATTGGATATTTTAAGACAAGGCAATGATAGCTTGCAGAACCTGGGGCCAGTTGCATAAACCTCTAAGACTAGTCTTACAAGTTAGACATCATTTTCTTTTCTTTAAGAGTGTTCATAGCTTTTTTAAATCAGTTACATAAAAACATAGATTGGGCTAACTTGATACCGAAAAGACTGACTGCCCCTGACTAACTGCTAGTGGGTCATACTAGAACATAAGACACTAGCAGTTAGTGTTCTAACACTACTTTCACCAAGTACCTGGGTCATCTTTGTTGATCCTGGAGCAACATTCCAATCAATCAATCAGATCTGAAGGACAAATTTACAGTTTATGTCAAGTTTAAGCTTAAAACCAGGGTTAGGTGCTTCCACATCACTGTTATTTAACTATCATTTCCCTCTGGTTTTAGGGATAATTTATTGATATGCTTAGGTTTCGGAAATGAGATATGGTTTGGATAAAATTTTCGGACAGGAAAGTTGTTCAAGGATCAACTAAATATGTTAACCCATGAACGCGTCTAACTCGAAAAAATTAGGATGTGCAGGATTGTTCCCCATTGTGAAAAAGAAGTACACTTTAGCATCCTTTTAAAAAGAGTACTTATTAAGGAAATAAAATACTTTAGTGTGAAAAGAGTATACTTAAGTGCAAACTAATAATCACTCATCACCCACGCACCATATAAGCAGTCACTCTTCAGTTCACCTTTGTCTGGCCTTGAGGTTCCTACCAAGAACTACCAACCTGACCACCTACCTTTGAGAAACTTACCTGTGTGATCTTCTTCAGTCTTCAGTCATTCGTCCTCTCCTACCATCAAATATGCTATCATCTTCACCTACAACAGATAAGATCTGTCATTCATCATTTCAGCATTGATCCACCAATTCACTACTCTATTTCTCCACCCAATTGATTTGTTGCTCTCCTGCACTTTAAATGGCCTCCCCATTGAGTAATATGCTGGGGAATTCCTGGAGCTGGCTAACAGTATACACAGAAGATGTTGTGCTGATGGAGATTTTTCATAGAGGTTTGGATGAACCTTTGTTCTCTAAGATGCCATAGTGAATATGTACACTTTAGAGCAATATATTCTCTACGCCCTTCTACTTAGCCCAGCGAGTCCTGAAAGACCACTAATTCTTCCTGTGATTTCCAAGTCTGTCCCAGTGAAGTTCGCACCAGCCATTGAGGCCGTTTAAGTACTAGAATTCAGTAATGAATCTGTTCCAGTGACAGAAATTCCTAAATCTGTTCCAGTGAAAGAATTTCTTGAGTCTGTTCAAGTGAGAGAAATTCCTGAGTCTGGTCCAGTGAGAAATTTCCCAGTCCGTTTATAGTGAGAGAAATTCCCTAGTTCGTTCCAGTGCATGAAAATCCAGAGCCTGCCCTTCCTGTCTGCCCTGATGGGTTTGAAGATGTGGTCCTGACCAGTTATGTGCATTTGGGCCACACACACCCTGGCACCAGCCCCTGACCAGAGCCCAGTGATAGCTCCAGCCCCTGACCAGAGCCCAGTGATGGCTCCAGTCTTGACCAGAGTCCAGTGATTGCTCTAGCCCCTGACCAAAGTCTAGTGATGGCTCAAGACACTGACCAGAGTCTAGTGATTGCTCCAGCCCCTGACCAGAGTCTAGTGATGGCTCAAGACCCTGACCAGAGTCCAATGATTGCTCTAGCCCCCGACCAGAGTCTGTTCCAGCCCATGAGGGCGCTCCAGAGTCCGCTCCAGCCCATGAGCCCGCACCAGAACCCGCTCTAGTTCATAACCTCATAGCTCCCCATAGGTTATATGTCCCTGGCCATAGAGGCCAAACTAAGCTCCAGGGTCCCTGGGTCCCTGAACTGCCGACAAATCCCTGGATCCTTGTACTGTTGGCACCTCCATGGCTCCCTGAGCTACCGGCGCCTCCCTGGCTCCCATCCCCTACAGGTACACTTCTGGCTCCCTGAGCTAGCGGCGCCTCTCTGGCTCGCTGTATTGCCAGTGCCACCCTGGAGGCTACCCATCCTTCCGGCACGGCCCTGGTCACCCGCTCCCCACTGACCATCCTGTCCGGCATCAGGACGCCCGCCCGCTCACCCTATACTTTTAAGATTAGAAGTACACTACAAGTGCGCATTCTGCGTAGTTAAATACTCTTTATGGCAAGACAAATTGTGAAAAAATACTTTTTGAAAATACTGATTAAGATATGTACACTTACATGTATTCAAGGTGTAAGGAAAATATGTGGTTACACTTTATTTTGATGGTCCATTTTAGACACTCTACTAACTACTATACTATAACTACTATAAAGTAACTTTGCAACTATATCTCAGCGAACTCTCATTAGAGTGTAACAATCATCCCAATGGATTGAGTTACAAGAGTTAAAATTAGGGTCAGACGAACAACAGAAATAGAATCAATACATGAAGTGTATTTACTATGTTCACATGAATCTTAAAACAACACAGTAAAACCAGGAAACCTCAGTCTGTTAAAAGCATAGAGTACATAACACCATACCCTAAAACAGACCGATGTATACACAATCCACAGTGATAATCCAATAAAGTGCTCTTTCTGTAGTGATGGCGAAGTGAAGCTTTCTGAACCAGCAAAGCTTTCAACACAATTGTATCAGAAAAAGGTTCATTACTCGATGCTTTTCAAATCAGAGCACGACGAGGACATCTGCTGGTGAAAGTGAGGGAAAGCGCTGTGCCGCAAAATGTTTCACAACCGACCAACGCATTAATCTTGGAAGCAAAAATGAATGAATGGATAGATTAATAAATTAACGAATCAATATATTAAATACATAACAGCAATCTGTTCCGTTTCATACTCCTAGTAACTCAAAACAATACAGATAAACTCCTAAACTCTCACAATACAATAAATTCTTCTAAATTCTCACAATAGAATAAACTCAATTAAACTCTTGGAATACAATAAACAGTTCAATGCAACGCAATACTCCTTAACAACCAAAGGTTTAAAAAGATTCAAAGGTTTAACCCTTAGTCACTGTTTAAAAAGGACGACGCTTAAGTGGTTTGGGGTCGTATTGACCCCAAACTTTTAAAGAGTGATTGCATAAGGAAATATAATTTTTTTATATGGAAAACTATATATAATTTTTTTTATTCACTTCTCAACTATACAATAATGCTGTGTTTTTTTTGGAAATGTTTAGGTTTTCTACATATTTACTGCACAATTACATAACTAGGCCATAAATTGCCACATGAAAAATGATTTTTTAAAGAAAAAATCACTTAAATGATGATGATAATTAAATCTAAATAGTTTTTGGACATTGCTCTATGTGTTAGGGATAAAATACTACCATCTGGTGGTTAGTCAAAAAACTGTTTTTCTTATAGTTAAGGAATTAAAGTGCAATGACCACATCTGTCCAATAGAGGTCCATAGAGACTCATTCATTTGTCTTGATGCTTCAAATTCTCCTAACAACTTGATATATATGATACAAATATTTTATGCAATTCACAAAATATATATGTCAAAGTTAGAGTTTGTTGTTGTTGTCTGATATATTTTGAATTATTGTTTTTGCAAATTATTATACATACATTTGCATAAACATTACAAGTCATCACTATGACATGACTGTAATCACACACTATTTATTTCAGAAAATTATTTATCAACAATTATTTATTTTTTTAGAACAAGAGATTTTAGAACAAAATAAATTAAATAAACCAAGTAAATAAACCAATATAATACAAAACAACAGCACCAATAAACTGTAATGAACAGGATGCATACATATGCATACATGTGTGTGTTTGTGTGTGTGTGGCTGTGTGTGTGTGTGTGAGATAGAAAGCTCGTTCCACTTTGTGTTTATGCTCTAGGACCAGACCTTGATTTAAATATATATTTTTTTAGATTTATGCCAGTTTTGTTTATTTTATTTGCCAATATCTGTAACAATGCTCTCGGTTGCAGTCACATACATGTGTGTGTTTGTGTGTGTGTGTGTATGAGATAGAAAGTTCGTTCCACTTTGTGTTTATGCTCTAGGACCAGTCCTTGATTTATATGTGATTTTTTTTTTATTTATGCCAGTTTTGTTTATTTTATTTGCCAATTTCTGTAAAAAAAATGCTCTCTGTTGCAGTCACATAGATTTGTGTCTCTGTGTGTATGTGTGTGTGTGTGTGTGCGTGTGTATGAGATAGAAAGTTCGTTCCACTTTGTGTTTATGCTCTAGGACCAGACCTTGATTTATATGTCTTTTTTTTTTTTTTATGCCAGTTTTGTTTATTTTATTTGCCAATTTCTGCAAAAATGCTCTCTGTTGCAGTCATGACATGTGTGTGTTTGTGTGTGTGTGTCTGTGTGTGTGTATGAGATAGAAAGTTTGTTCTACTTTCTATTTATGCTCTAGGACCAGACCTTGGTTTACATGTAGAACATTTCAGATTTATAATGGATTTACTTTTATTTTTTTGACAAACAAAATAAAAAAAGTCATTTTTTTCATTTTCCCATTCATTTTCAATTGGGGTCATTTTGACCCCAAACCCCTTAAATGGTAAAAAGTAAAAAAAAATTACACACCTTTAGAACAACCGAATCGAACCCAGTTTTTTTGTGCATATTTAGATAGATTATGTAGGAAAAGTCACAGAGTTTCATGGCCCTGAGATGAAGGGAACATTTTTTAAAAATCAAGGAAAAGTCCAGTGGGGTCATAATGACCCCAAACAGTGAAAGTTGTGCATTTTTAAACCTTTGAATCAGAGTACGAAGCAGTCACGTGGGTGTGTGTGAAACGAAGCTTCGGACGTCATTGGTCACGTGATTTTGATAGAACGAATCAAGCATCGATACAACGCTTCAGTTCACTGAAAAAAATTTGACACACGCTTCAGAGCTTTGGTGTCATGGCTAACATTTCTAGCTTTCTGGAAAGGTATTAGTCCTCAAAAGGTAACTCCACAGTCCAGGCTCTTGGTGATCACCAATCGATCGATGTATTAGCGATCCTGTTTGAATGCCATGCTGCTTCCTTTATGCTGTGTACTTCCTATTTCCTGTCATGTGATCACTCACATGACAGGCAGATCTATGATCATTTAAAGACATACACACATATAAAACAGATAAGAGGAATACAATGGACTAAACTTACTAAGACAACATGTAAACCTATTAAAACTCTAACATACATGAAATCATTAATATACTGTATATAGAGCGGTTAAAACGTGTCATATGTGACAGTGTCACAAAAGTATTAGTAGACTGTAGTAGACTGTTAGGTTAGGGTTAGGTGTTCAAGTAGAATAAGTTGACATGTCGTTGCAAAGTTACTTTTAGTCAGTAGAATGTCCGTTGGTGGACCATCAAAATAAAGTGTTAGCAGATAGTAAGCAGACAGTCTACTAATACTCTAATGACTGGTAGCTGACGTGTAATTGAAAAGTTACTTGCAGTCAGTACAATTTCTAAAGTGGACCATCAAAATAAAGTGTTACTGAATATGTTATTACTTTTTACTAAAAGGTGACCCCAAAAGACATTTGTAAAGTCATTAAATTTAAAGTTTCTTTACAATATTATAAAAAAAGCAACTAACATGAATGCCAAAAGTACATTTCTAAAAACTAGATTTTTTCAGTTGCTTTGTTTTTTTAAACTTGAAAAACCTTCCGTTTCTTCTACAGGTGGTCTAGCTGCAGTCATCTACACAGACACCCTACAGACCATTATCATGGTTGTGGGATCATTCATTCTCATGGGCTTTGGTACGTCCGTTCACTTTTGTCCTGTACTTTAAGCTTTTTGGATTAAAAAAAAAAGTCTGCTTAATGACTATTTGCTTCAACATCAACCATTTTCTTTCAGCGTTCAATGAGGTCGGAGGCTATGAGAACTTCAAGGACCGTTATATGAATGCGATCCCGTCAGTGGTGGGTGCAAACATCAGTGAATCGTGCTACACTCCTCGTGCGGACTCGTTCCACATTTTCAGAGACCCCCTTTCTGGTGATCTGCCCTGGCCCGGACTGATCTTTGGTCTTACTATCCAGGCTGCCTGGTACTGGTGCACTGACCAGGTACTGATTATTTATTAAGGCTGCTGCTGACTCATTTTTGTGGAGTAACACTTTTTTTGGCTACTTTCTGGTATTGCTTTATTCTGTGCGTATAAATGTTTTTTTGGAAATAAGAAGCATTGTTTGAGACAATAAGACAATAATCTATCCTACACATGCTAGGACATTCACAAACATATACAAATGAAATGTATTCTGTGTCCACTTTTGGACGACAAACTGCACATTTACCTTGAGTTTCTCAGGATGAACAGTGTTTCTTGTTTTAGTCAGAGCGAGTCTAAGCTTTAACAGGCATGCTTTTAGTTTGACCCCTGATTAGTCCCCACTAAATAAGATAAGATACACAAAAAGCCAAAGAGAAGCAGATATAGACTCACCACGGTTAATTTAGTTCAACAGCCCATTAACAAGACTTAATGCTTAATTGTTTCAGACTATAGGAATTTGGAGATTTAGGTGACATTAGCAAAAATTATCAATATTTAGCTTTAAAAAATGCATGGGGACATAAACAGATTCCCTCATGTCAAATATATTTTTATGGGGATGTTCTTCCTCTGAGGGGAGTTTATCGTTTAGTGAAGATTTTCCCCCCAAAAAAGTCTTATCAGTCATAAAGGCAGATGTTTATGTTTTCACAAATAGTATTCAATAATCTTTGTTTGTACTCTGGCACTGTAGAGAAAAATACAGCCATAAAAGTTTATTATAGTTCATGACGCACATTACCTGCATCTCAACAATTGTTTTATTTGCGTCTGTTTTTGTTTCTCTGCAGTGTTGATTTTGTATCATTTTAACCCAGGGTACCTGATTTGTTTAGGCGGGAAATGATGATACCTTAAATGTCCAAGGTATTATTTGAAATATATATATATATATATATATATATATATATATATATATATATGTATAAATGTTAAGTATAAATGCAATGAGTATAAATGACAAGCAGGAAAACATCAACGACAAAAAAAGATCAAAAGTGATAGTAAAGACTTTTATATTGTTACAAAAGATTTATTTTTTAAATAATTGTTGTTCTTTTAAACTTTAATCAAAAAAATCTTACAAAATTGTAATTTCCACAAAAATACTTTGATAATAATAGGAAATAATAAGAAATGTTTCTTGAGCAGCAAATAATCATATTATAATGATTTCTGAAGGATCATGTGACACTTAAGACTGGAGTAATGATGCTGAAAATTCAGCTTTGATCACATGAATGTATAACATTTTAAAATATATTCAAATGGAAAACAGTTATTGTAAACTGTAATAATATTTAAATAAATGCAGCTAGGTGAACATAAGAGAACTCTAACCTTCAGGCGGTGTGAACAGGTGTGTATATATAGAACAACAACTTTAAAAAAAAATCAAACTCTAAAGGTTTAAATTAGCAAGCCCTTGTAAACTTTTTAAACAGTCATTTAAACAGCCAATAACCAGACTAAACAATGCTGAGCACTAAAATGTTCCTCTGGGTTATTCACACAAACACTCATCTTGTTTTAGGTGATAGTGCAGCGCTGTCTGTCTGCCAAGAGCCTGTCCCATGTGAAAGCTGGCTGCATCCTGTGCGGATATCTCAAACTTCTGCCCATGTTCCTCATGGTTTTCCCTGGCATGATTAGCAGAGTGCTGTACACAGGTGAGAACGATTGGCAGCATCCTGGCTGAGATGGGTGATAAACTTATGAACTATTATGTAAATGTTAGCAAATATGTTGACTGAATCCTGACTGAGTGATATTAAATGGCAACTTTAATGTTTGAGGTGATATATATGGCCAACTAGGTTTTGTTAGTCTCACAGAACTAGACTTTTGCCCATCAGAATATAGTCTGGTCCATGTATTTCTCACAGAATATGCTAGCAACTTACTATCATCTTGTTCTAGCAAACAATCGCCTAAATAGCGTTTCCCAAAAGCATAGCTCACTATAGTCGCAAGTTCTGTCGTTATCAGCATAGTTCAATGAGTCATTGTTTCCCGAAACCATAGTTCCAACGAATATTCGCAAACAGCATCGTCTTGGTTACTAATGTAACCCCCGTTCCCTGAAGGAGGGAACCGAGACGTTACGTCAGAACGAACTGCAGATTGGGATCTCGTCACATTTGAGTGTAAACAAAACAAGCTAATGGACATTTGCATTGCAAACCCCTCCCTGCAAGACGGGTATATAAGGAAGCGTGCAGCACTCCCTCATTTAAGTTTTGTGCTTCAGAGCCGAGACGGCGTCCTGGCCATTAGGCGATAGGCCTGATAGGCGCTCTTATCAGAGGGGAATGGCACTGCAAGCGAGACACCGAGTGAGTCCCCTCACCTACTGTCTACTCTTTCGACCACCACTGATGGTCCGTCACACCAACACTCTCTGGAGAGCTACTTCCGGGTTTGTAGAACACTGTTGAAGGTTGATTGTACAGCAGAATCAAGGGAAACGTTCGGCTCTGAAGCAAAAGCTTAAATGAGTGCTGCATGCTTCCTTATTCTCGCCTTGCGGGGAGTGGTTCACGATGCAAATCTCATTTGCCAATGTTCATTGGCATTGTTTACAGTCGAAGGTGATTGAGCTCTCAGGCGAGATCCCAATTCGTCAGCTCGTTCTGACGTAACATTGAACGTGACTGACTGATAGGGAGCGCACAATTGTGTGGTCTGAATAACGTCATCGGGTTACGACTGTAACCCTTGTTCCCTGAGAAGGGAACGAGAACTGCGTCGAATGACACTTTGGGGGAACGCCCCTCAGCGTAGCGCCTCTGAAGCATAAATGAAACTGAGCCAATCTCCGATTGGTGCAACGTCATAACATAATGTGTGACGACACATAGGCGGAACTATAAAGGGACGCCAGCAAAACAAAATGTCAGCCTCTGTGATGAAGCAAGCGCTCCCAGGCAGGGGAAGGCGTGGCCAAGGGACGCAGTTCTCGTTCCCTTCTCAGGGAACAAGGGTTACAGTCGTAACCCGAGGACGTTCCCTTTCGAGGGAACTCTAACTGCGTCGAATGACACTTTGGGGGAACGAGTGCCCACTACGCCACAACGTGCCCTGCCTGCCCTAGTGTGAAGCTGCTCAGAGGCACACTTAGGACGAGAGCACAAGAGAGCCGGGTGTTGACGGAATGTCCAAACTATAAAACCTAATAAAGGTATGAGGGGTACCCCATCCTGCTGCATCGCAGACCTCCTGGATAGGGGCCCCCGCGAGAAGGGCTCTAGAGGATGCCATGCCTCTGGTAGAATGAGCCCTCACGGCCAAAGGTGAAGGCATTCCGCGCACTTGGTAGGCTGTGGAAATCGCATGGACAATCCAATTGCTGATGGTCTGTTTTGAAGCGGGAAGCCCCTTCCTGGGCGACCCGAAACACACCAGCAACTGGTCCGACTTCCGCCATGAAGAGGACCTCCGAATGTAAATACTCAATGCTCTGACAGGGCAGAGCATGTGAAGTCTCTCTTCATCTGCCGTCACGTGAGGTGGAGGATGAAAAGCCTGCAGAACCGTAGGCCGTGCCGCACTGGATGGCACCTTAGGCAGAAAGTCGGGCCTAGGGTGAAGGATGGCCTTAATGTTGCCTGGAGCAAACTCCAGGCACTCGTTAGATATGGAGAGCGCCTGGAGATCTCCTACCCTCCTCAGAGAAGTAATGGCCAACAGAAAAGCGATCTTCAGCGACAGGTTCTTGGCCTCAGCCGACTCCAGCGGTTCGCAGGGGGCCTCAGCCAACCCTTCAAGAACCACTGCCAGGTCCCATGTGGGAACCCTGGTACGAGCCGCAGGTCTCAACCTCCATGCCCCACGGAGGAAACGTACGACCAACTGGTGTCTCCCCAGAGGCCCATCACTCAGAGGAGCGTGGAAAGCCACAATGGCAGCCACGTACACCTTGAGTGTGGACGGGGTAAGAGCAGTGGAGAAGCGATCTTGGAGGAACTCCAGTACTGAAGCCACTGGGCAGTTAACTGGGTCCACCTCACGCTCCCTACACCAAATGGTGAAGACGTTCCACTTTAAGCCGTACAGTTTCCTCGTGGATGGAGCTCTAGAAGTGAGTATGGTCTCCACAACTCCAGCTGATAGGCCGGCCTCTAGGTACTGTGCCCCCTCAGGGGCCAGACCCACAGTTTCCATAACTCGGGTCGAGGGTGAAATATTGAGCCCTCTGCCTGTGTCAGCAGGTCCCTCCTGATGGGAATCTCCCATGGAGGGCCGTCCAGGAGCAAGATTATATCGGAGAACCACACTCGGGCTGGCCACAACGGGGCTACCAGCAGTAGACTGATCCCGTCGCGACGGACCCTCTCTAGAACTCCCGGGAGCAGAGCGATCGGGGGAAATGCGTACAGACGTAGCCTCGGCCACGTCTGCACCATGGCATCCAACCCCAGCGGGGCTGGATGGGAGAGGGAATACCACAGTGGACCGTGGGTCGTCTCTCGAGACGCGAACAGGTCCACTTCCACTGGGCCGAACCTCTGAGATATTGACTCCACCACCTCGGGGTGGAGTCTCCATTCCCCGGGCCTCAGCCCCTGTCTCGACAGGATGTCTGCTCCCTGATTTTGACTCCCCGGGATGTATGTTGCTCTTAGAGACAACAGTTTTCCCTGGGACCACAGGAGGATCTGATGCGCCATTCTGCATAGAGGGCGAGACCTCAGACCCCCCTGATGGTTTATATAGGCCACTACCGACATGTTGTCTGACCTCACAAGGACATGATGACCTTTGAGGTCCGGCAGGAAGCTCCTCAGAGCTCGGAACACCGCCAACATCTCCAGGCAGTTTATGTGCCAGGAGGCATGATGGTCCTGCCATAGGCCTGTCATAAAGCAGCCGTCCATGACCGCGCCCCAGCCCGTGAGGGAGGCGTCTGTCGAAACGGTTCTCCGGCGACATGACGCTCCCAACACTGGCCCTTGGGACAGAAACCAAGCTTTCTTCCACATAGATAGGGAACGAAGGCATCTGCGCGTAACCCTGATCATGTGGAACGGGTTTCCCCTCGGGGAGGATCCTGTTGTGAACTTTTTCTTCTTAAAGTGTAGAAAAGTCAGAAGAGCAGACCAGGAGACGGAGAGGTATCTTTTAAAGCAGATGTTCATTATTAGGTCGCTGTAGCATCTCAATCTCGTCCAACTAAGGGAAATGTTCCCTTGCAATTTATACATTTAGAGGGGGAGGAGTTTACATTAGGGTGGAGTCCCTCTGAAACAAAGCATGCAAATGAAGTAGGAGCACACCCTACTCTGAGGGCATTACCAATCCAATTGAATCAGCATAACTATTCAAATGCTGATAGTGGCCAGGAACTCTGGTTCCTAAGAGCCATCCCAGAGCCATTAAAGACAAAAGGTGAAAGTCTCCCCGACAGCTAATCCAATCAACCTAACGATTCAACATCTAGGCTGAAAGGAGAGAAAACAGGACTATCAGGAAAGGAGACTCAATAATCATCTAAAATCCGTCTACTAAACTTTATCAGTTTTTATACCATTGGAGTGGAAACCTAAATTAAACATTTGACAAATTTGTATTCCTTCAATTCCCCCTTTGGGAGTTCTAAATAACTCCCACAATATATACAAATTTAAACAATTAAAAATTCATTCTTGCAACTTGTGATAGTTACAGGCACATAAGCTTGTTCTGTGTTGATGTTTCTGCAATTGGATGCTGACACAGAAACAAAACATGCCATTAGGGTCCGTGAGTCTTTTCTGGTTGGAACTGTGATTTTCTCGTGATCAATCAAGTTTCTGAACCATGAAGAATTATCTTCAGTCATCTTGGTGTAATTTTGCTGAAAGATCCAGAATGTCTTGTTGGACCACCATGTTTGTGCACAAGTGAGTCCTGGAATGCAGCCATCTTCGGAGGTGACATGCAAACGTTCTTTCCAGCAAACAAGGCGTTTTTGACATATTCATCAGCTCTAAGAATATGTTGTTTCTGGAGTCCGGACTTTGTGCGATCTTCATGATGTGTAGTAGTAGGACAATCTTGAGCATGTCGATGGATGACTTAAGGTTTCGTAGTCTCTGCGTTGTGTATTTTTTTTTTTTTTTTATCCTTTTGTGATAGTTGGCTCGGCAGTGGGTCTAGTTGTTCTCTGGAAGTGGTGTCTCCATATGCAGGTGAGATGGCCGTTGCATATGGATCCCAGAACAGCCATCAAGTGGAATCTGCACAGAGGGAGAAAGAAAACAAAAGACAGGAGAGCAGTATTTGTTCAAACCCTAGGGTTGTAAACTTTTCCGAGTCTGCTAGACAGTAGAGCAGTATTTGTTCAAACACTTGGGTAGTAACTTGTTTCCGAGTCTGCTTTTGTTGTTCCCTCTGTCTTTCTCTATTTCTTAATTCGTTTGACACCTATGGACCAGTGAGGTAAGGATGGACTGTGGAGGGGGGAGGCCTATGAGGGATTCTTCACCGCAGGGGTTGGCCCCCGATGCCTGTTGCAATCGGTTCTTCCCTGGGCTCCTCACTTGATGTGGTCCGTGCCATTTAAGCTCTAATGGCTTGCAATATTCTAGACACTTCCTTGACTACCTGTCCTGTGAAGTGTGTACCTTGATCTGAGTCAATGCAATCGTGAGTCATTTCTCCTTCATCCTCTAACACAACTTCAGTCATT